TCTCAACTGTGTCCCAAGACAACAGTCTACAGTCAGTCTTCCCGCTCTGCCCCAGACCTCCCCTATGGTCAACTTTAATGTTGTGAGTAAAGAGTTTACTGAGCCAAAAGCAGGGGCACAGGCCTGCAGTATAGCATCAGTGGCCAAGGCAAGAAGATTGCAAGTTCAAGGGCAGCCTAGGCTATTGTATGGCCTTGACTTCTTAATGAGAGCCTTTATCCACAGGGGGTTTGTAGTCTCGAGGTTGTGATTCAGGGAAGGAGGAGGGAATGAAAGGAGGGAGACAGGGAAGCCCTGTCACACAATAGGTTGAGAGGTCATTATGCTGGTGTTCAGTGATTGACCCTAGATCACACGGAAAGACCAAATCAATGGCTGCTGGGTGTGTGACCAGTAGATGTCAAGACTCAATGGTTCTCAGAGGATTTTGAATGGCTTGTGCTGGAAATCAGCACGTTTCATGTTTTTGTGACAGATGTTGGTAAGGGTCCCCAAGACCCTGAAGTGCCACAATTGGTTAACAGGTCTCTCAAGCTAGACAAGCTGCTGTCTTCACAGATCAGGCTTGCTGCAGGGAAAGGATGCAGGAGAAAATCTGGGATAACAAAAGGTGACTGGTCTGAATCCAGGAGGATGGGCAGGATCCTACTGTCCTGCCTGAAGCCATCTCTCCAGACTTAGGAGAAGACTCCCGGCAAACACATGGGACAGATATAATGGGTTTTACTCACTAGGAAAGCTAAAGAATCTTGGGGCTGGAAAATTTGAGGGCTTTGTGAGGCCAGGACATGGAGACATGGAGCATCCCTTGAGGCTCATCTTAGTTTTCATATAATCTGAGGCCAGACTGAAGCATCCCAAGACCCTGAGCTCTGTGGCATGCTTTGAGACACATCTGTGTGGGCACTCTGTTTTTGGTTTTCCTTTTGGGAAAAAGAAAATGTCCTCCCCCGACTCTCTTTCTAGGAATGTCAGGGAAGCCCCACAAACCCCTTCAGTAGGCAGACACTGGGTTTTGGGACGTACAGAACCAAGCACTCACCAACCCTGGGTAACTTTACTTCACAGTCCTACCTCGTTGCTGGCTATAGGAATAGGCACAATGTTTTCCCAGCATCTCCTCTTCTTCCCCTCCATGCCTCTTTATTTTTATTGTGTATATTTGGGTATTTGGCTGCATGTGTGCATGGGATCTCCAGGGACCTGAGTTGCAGTTAGATGTACACATCCTATGGGTTCTGGAAACAAGTCTGGGTCCTCAGGAATAGAAGCCAGTGCTTTTCACTGTACAGCCATCTCAACAGCCCTCCTCTTCCCCTGTTTGATGGTGTAGGAAGGTCTTACTCTAGCCTGATGCAATGCTCTACAGCCCCCATGTTCTACATGGGTGGCATGTCAGCTGAGTGACTTTTCTCTGTCCCTGGTTCAGGGGTTCATTGACATTGGTGCCCCATATTCACAGTCCTTAGCCTAACATCACCAGTATGCACACCTGTGGAGTCAGCTCCCACATCCTGATGCCCTCCAGTGAGTAAGCACCTGGGGGAGGAAAGAGACAAGAAACTGAGGTAAACCTCCCTAGAGTACTCCACCCCCTCCTGACATGCAGACTACAGAGAAAACACAGGAGGTCAACTCAAGACATAAGACAAAGGATAGCCATCCTCCTTAATTGGGGACCAGATGCCAGGATGCAGTAAGAGGTCTCCTTTCTGATCCTATGGGCCTGCTGTGGTTGATGTGAGATATGACCAGAAAGACCTAGAAGGAGTGAAGTACTCATGAGGTAGCTGACTAGAGATGAACTGTGGCCTGTGTTCATATCCATGGCCATCTTCCTTTACTAGTGGAGCTGATGGATTGCTGCAAGTTCTGGAATTTCAGCTACCCACCAGGCCCTGTGCCAGTACTGTGCATGAACTTGCAGAACATGTGGTATAACCTGTTCACACACAGAGAGAGTTGGTAATAAAGGGGAACAGAGATCACAGCTTCTCTACCAGCACCCAATGGTGCTGAAGCCACAGGATGGACAGGGAGCTGAGCCCCTATGTAGCAGACTTAGTAACTTCCTGGCGACAGGCTCTATGGGGTTTGAGGATGCTTTGGACATCTTAGTGCAAAGTGTGATGGAAAGATCAGGAAGTGGGGCAGGACATGGCAGCTGATTTGGCATCTGGTAGCACAGGACAGAGCTATGGAGACTCAGGTCTCCTCTGATCCCACTAATGGATGAGGTTATGAGGGTGTGGAAGAGGGATCAGGGTCTACTGGAGCATTTTTGTCAAGAAAGCAAGTGGAGAGAGGTGCTGTGTGGTCTTGACCTCACTGCCCGTCTCAAGGAACCTGACTTCATTTGTCCATGGTAGGATGCTAAGAAGCCCAATGACAATCCTCAGGCTCTTCAATGTCACATCCTGATGCTCATGTCAGATAGGAGTCCTTTGTTAAGCTCACAAGATGCGACATCCCCAGATACAAGGTACCAGATCCCACCCAGGCTCTGCATGTAGATCAGTGATACATAGGAGGACCTGGGTCCAATAAATACCAAACTTCCAAGACACAAAGGCTTATGTCCCAAGCCTGGTTCTGGCAGTTGATGGACCTCTACCTTGGAGGTACTCTGACCCTCACCTTCAGTTTCCATCTACTGCCGAGACGTGTCCCACTTACAGATGGCCTGCACTTGGAGGTTGTGATCAATGGAAGGAAAGTCATGCAGGAGACACTGTTGCAAACCATTTGCCAGTGTCCATCTTGGACCACCCAGGCTTCATGCCCAGCTCTAAAGTCCAAAGTCTCTGTGGGCACCGTTGGTCAGAGGTGGGCATGGGGTTTAGGGGCAATGACTGTGGTATGTGATCAAGCAATGGAAGGGAAAGTCACTGAATTTCACGGTGGAACACAAGGGACATGTGATAGTGTGTGGTGCCAACATTTTGGACGACCCATGGGTGGAACTGGACCCAGATGAGAAGGGGATTGTGGGTAAGAGAGGACAGCACCACCAGGTATCCTTGGCTACACTCAGACTGTGTGTGTTAATGTGTAGTCTTCTCACCTTAGGGTTCCGGATGGTGAGAGCAGTGGTGGTTTTGTCAACTCCTGCCTGGCCATGAACTCCATGGAGCAGGGGGTGACTGAGGAGTCCACTGTCTCCCTGTACCTGTGCCTCCTTCTCCTACCCTCATGACAGGTGGTGTGTAAGGAGTCAGATATAAATGTAATTTTCTTTAGGTCCCCACCTAGCTTCCAAATAAAGACAAGGTGACTTATTATTAATTATAAATGTGCAGCCTTAGATTAGGCTTGTCCCATTAGCTCTTTTAACTAATTTTAACCTGTTTGTATTCATCTACATTTTGCCTTGGAACTTTTTACCTTTCTTTCATTGTGTATGTCCCATTTCCCTGCTTCCTCTATGTCTCTTTCTGGCTCCTGGAGTCTCCCTGTTGTCTCCTTTTCTTTCTTCCTTGAGCCTAAATTCCTCCTCCTACTTAATCTCCCTGCCTGGAAGTTCCACCTATACCCCTTCCCCTGCTCCTCACCTTTCAGCTCTGACCTTGTCCAGTCCCCCCCCCACTCCCCATCGTTGGAGGTTTGTCAAGGTCCAGGCCTTTCTTCCTGCAGTGGACTCCCAGAAGGCCTCTTCCATGGCCTTTGGCACACAGCTTCCATTCAGGTACTGTAGGCAGGTAAGGCATAACAGAATCAACACATCTTTACATCATTAAACACACATCTTTCCATTGTTAAGCAACTGCAGCATAAACAAAAGTAACACCTCTTTGCCTCTTTGCCTAGTTAAAATAATATTCCACAACAAGGCCCTGAGTCCCTTGTGGAAGAGGCTGGAAACTGAGGCTGGAAACTGAGACCGATCCATGTGGACTCCAAACAGAAGCAGCAGCTCGGCAAGCCAGATAGTAAATAAAGAAATTTGCCAAGCCAGCCTGGAGACTTGAATCTGTGGTGCTATTTTGTTTGTCCTCTAACACATGAACCTTGTCTGGAGATCAGAGTGTGGAGCTAGCCACTAGTTAACCATAGAGGCCAGGCAGTGGTGGCACACACCTTTAATCCCAGCACTTGAGAAGAAGAAGCAGGAAGATCAGGAGTTCAAGGCCACCCTGGGCTACCTGAGGTTGATCCAGTCTGAAAGAGAAACAAAGCCAAGCAGTGGAGGCTCACACCTTTGATCCAGGCACTTGGGAGGCACAGGCCTTTAATCCCAGCACTAGGGAGGTGGAGACAGGAAGTGATATGGCTGGGCAGAGAGAGGAACATAAGGCTGGAGGAGACAGGAGCTCACTCTTTTCATGCTGAGGAGTTGTGAGATAAGAGGTGGCTGTGGCTTGCTCCTTTGTCTCTCTGATCTTTCAGCGTTTACCCTGATATCTGGCTCAGAGTTTTTATTATCAAGACTAATTAGGATTTGCGGGACATGAATCAATCTCTGGAACTCATTTCAGATGGAAAGAGCTGACTCCATAAGTGTTCTCTGTCTCCTATGTTCTCACAATGGCAAGTATGCCTACACATACACACACATATGCACACACACACACACACACACATACACACACATATGCACACACACACACACACATGCACACACACATATGCACACACACACACATACACACACATATGCACACACACACACACACACACACACACACTATGCAACACCTACACCATACACACTAAGTCACACAATAATAATATGGAAATTAATTTAAAATTTTCTAATGGAAAGAAGCATTTGGGTACACTCTGTGGATGTCATACGTGTTGAATGTGGTCCTAATGCTCCAGCACATCCCAGAGCACCTTACCAAAGACTTCCCAGAGCACAAGGCACTTATGGGTTCACAGGATAGACCTGCGATCCTACTCTGAAACCTTGACTGATGCCTTCCTGGCTGAGGTAGAAAAGGTGACAGTTGTGGGTTGTAGTGCTGGGTAAGGACAGGCAGGACAGAGTCTGTGTGTCACACAGTAACCCAGTATCTGGACTTCCTGGAGACAGTGGAAGGTTCTTGTGGGCTTCTATCCATGATCCTCTCAGCCCACCCTCTCTACCTAGCCCAGGCCAAGGGGAATCCTGAAGCGGCTTCGATGATGAAACCCTGCTCATGGTGATGGCTGACCTGTTCACTGCAGGAGAGGGGAGCATCTCCACCACATGGCCTGGACCCTGCTGCTCATGGTCCTGCATCTGAATGTGCAGTGTGAGGCTGACTGGGGCTGGGAGTGAGGAAAGATAAAGGCACATTCTCTGAGATGACTTGAGACACATGTGACTCAAAAAACCTAAAGGCTAACCAAACCCAACTGAAACAAACAAACAACAACAACAAAAACCATCACATGATTCTCCCCCCCCCCCATTTCAAAACACTAACTTCTCTCCCTAGACAGAGAAACCTGTCTCTGCCTGAGACACAGTGGAGCCAACAAACATAAGGCCAAGTGTCCGAATACTGCACCCTCTTTGAACCTCAGCCATTTCTCCATATCCACAACTCTGCCTCAGCATCCTGCTCTTTGTACCATGGTGGACCTCATTCACCATGGCTGCCTCACTGGGTTTGTCTCAGTTTCAAGGGGCAAAGGCATGGCCATGAACAGACGGAAGCAAAACACATCCAAAACAGTGGGGAAAGTCATGAGCCAATTTCCTGACAAACAATTACTTCAAAGATTGTTTTAACTGGCAGAATACTAACAGCCTTTAGCAAACCAGTCCTTTGATTCAATGATATATAACCTTGGAATGAAGTAGTGGCAGAGAGCATTACATTTGAAGATGCCAGAATTACACTCCAGGGTCACATGTATGCTATGTATTTGCGTTGATCTCATTGGTTGATAAATAAAGCTGTTTTGGCCAATAGCCAGGCAGAATAAGGTTAGGTAGTACAATCAAACTGGAGATGAAGAGGGGCAGAGTCGGAGCAGATGCCAGCCAGCCGCATAGGGAGCAAAACATATAGAAAATAGGCAACAAGCCACAAACCACATGGCAAAGCATAGGTAAGAAATATGGGTTAATTTAAAATGTAAGAGCTAGCTAGTAACAAGCCTGAGCCATTGGTCAAACATTTATAATCAATATAAGCCTATGAGTGGTTATTCAGGAACTGGCAGGTGGGAGAGAACCATCCAGTTACAAGTATCCTGGAATATGAACTTTGTTTCCCAGCCATGACCTTGGAGTCAACAGACCTATGTAACCTAGATGATTCTGATTGTACCAGATGATGGGTCAAAGGACGCTCAGGTGAAGTTATACTTTACATCTTTGTTTCTGCTGTTCAGTACCCTACTTTTGGAGAGGATAAAACAGCAGAGAGGGTTTGGGGCATTCTAAATCAGGTGTTTCTGCCAAAAATATTTAACTCCCACTATAACCCTTACGACTTATATATCTCAAGAAATGGATAACTAGTGGTTAGTTCTGAGCTTAGGCAGCAAAACTAAAATTGGAAAGCACAGAACTAATCTAATGTCAGAAGTACACCGTCTACCAGCAGGCCACCAGGAAGCAATCTTTATTTCAAAAGGATGGGAGAACTTTCAGGACGCGAAGAGGATATCCTCTCTCACCTTTTTCCAATGTTCTAAAACAGGCACTTCGAGGGACAAGTAAGGAGGAAAGGAACATTTCCTGAAGCCCTGTTGAGTTCCAGTCACATGTTTATATCTTAGTTCATATGATTCTCCTTACTGGGTAAGAACTTGTAACCAGATTACCTGAATTAGTACTGCCTACCGCCACAAGCCCTGACGAGCAGGCAAGAAATGCATCTTAGTTGTGCTTTACACACAATCCTAACTGTAGGGAAAGGGGGCCGTGGGAAAACGCCCATACCCTGACTTGACCCCTAGAGGACCAAGGACTTAAAATCCCACCAATCCCAGAGCTTGTCCCAGAATCAGGCCACAAAACCCATCCCAAGCCACCCTGGCAAGCACCCTCCCCGCAATAACTCCTATATAAACCCTGTATTCTGTTCAGTTTGCTGCTGCTTCTCACTCTAGCCACCCTTCTGGATTTTTCCCTCCTAGTAAATCTCTTCTGTGAGGTTTGCTGTAGGGTGGGACACTGTTGGGGAACTTTCCCCTAGCAGAGCAGGGCTGTAACACTTTCCCTGGGGAAACCTTCCTGCACCCTAACAGAATTGTTACAATTGCATTGGGGGAACTTTCCCCTAGCAGAGCAGGGCTGTAACACTTTCCCTGGGGAAACCTTCCGGGACCCTAACAGAGTTGTTACAATTGCATTGGGGAACTTTCCCCCAGCAGAGCAGGGCTGTAACACTTTCCCTGGGGAAACCCTCCCGCACCCTAACAGAATTGTTACAATTGCATTGGGGGAACTTTCCCCTGGCACAGCAGAGCTGTAACACTTTCCCTGGGGAAACCCTCCCCCGCCCTAACAGAGTTGTTACAATTGCACTGGGGGAACTTTCCCCTGGCAGAGCTGGAACACTTCCACAGGGCGGAGCTGCGAGGCTTCCCACAGGGACTTTGTGGTATTCCTTGGCTCCTGACTGCCAGGATACCTTTCCACCAGAGGTGCAAGGCTTACACTAACCGGTCCTCCGGTCCCATTCATACTGGTAGTATTTCCCGTTCTTCTGAGATACCTAGGGTTTGTTCAAGGTGACAGGCTGCATCAACTGAGAGTCCGAATCCGAATCCAAATCCAGGTCCGCCGCGGGGAAACTAATGACTCACAGCTCTCCAGCGCAGTGCCACAACTGGGAAGGCAAGTTCTCGGGACTCCTGAATCTTTCCGTTTTCACCCAAGTCGGTGACTGCAGGAGGGAGGCGACTGCCTGAGGGACCTCCGCCCACTCCAGTCTGTCCAAGGGCAAATCCCAGAACACGCGCTCTTTCCCAGCCCATCCCGCTGCCCGGGGTAGGCTAGAGGACCAGCGGGCAGCAGAGCCACGTCGGGGGCGTGGCTTCCGGCGTGCGTGGGCCTGCGCAGATTACGTGGGGGCGTGGCAGCTTGCTGTCTGCTAGCTAGCACTGTGTATTTTCTTCTCAAGGTTGCAGAGGCGCCCCGGGGTGATTCCACAGTGCGTGGCGAGCCCCTCTGTGCCCTTCTGGTGCGGCTGTCCCGGGCTGCGAGTCCATGGTTCCAGCCTGCCTCAGCCCGTTCTCCTGGTCTCCGCCTGGCCCTCAGTTTCCTTTGGTGAGTGGCAGCACCGCGCTCTTGCAAAGTTTCTTTCTTGGATGAGCAGGCCTGGGCGAGGAAGGTTAGAAGGTGGGTGTGGACCTCGAGCTGGGGGATCCCGCTGCCCTGCTGCTCGCCTCCTACCCTCCACCCTGATGGGCTTGTGTTGGGTCCTGTACTGTGCAGCATGTCCTTTCAGGCCAGGATGGAGCTAGAGGAAGCTGTTGACTGGTGACCAATCTAGGGTGCCACCTGTTGGGCAGGACCAAGAGGAATGGACAGGAGCAAGAAGTGAGCCATGGGGACAGGGGCTTCAGGCCAGCATCAAGCATGGAGTCCTCCACAGGCCCCGGTGGCATAGACTTGGGCAGAGAAAGGGGCAGCAGCTGGGCAGCAGAGGAGGAGACCCAGGGTCTGGTCCTTGCTGAGGTGCTGCATGCTGTGGACTCCATCTCCTCTCACACAGCTCTGGCCTCCCTTCTGCCACACTGGAGGGGGCAGCAGAGAGCGCCCGCCTGGATTCCACTGGGACTTCTGAGCCTTTGATCTTCAGAGGTCTGGATCCCCAGCAAGGACAGGGACTGCAACTTCACTGACCCTAGTGATTGATGAGTGGACATGTGCAGTGTGCCCAGCAGTGTCCAGAACACAGGTGCCGTTTGTTGAAAGGCTCAGGAGTCATGTTTCCATTTTCCTCATGGCTACCCCTCCTAAACACAGGCCTCTGGCATGAGGAGGACACAGCCTCCATATCTCCATGTGGAAGAAGGTGGGGGAGAGATTGACCCACTAAGAACCAAAGGGTGAATAAAGGAAAGAGACCACCATAGGACAAGAACCTGACCCATCGATGGGCTCCAGGGACTGTCTGACAGTTGTTGACAATATCACAGATTTCTTCCACCCCATGTAAGAAGTGGCCGCTTCTGAATCTGGCCTTCCTGATCAATTCGACAACCACCAACCTGTCACAAGACTCCAGAAGCTGCAGCCAACTTCCTCCTAATACCCCTCATTCACCACAAAACCAATCAGTGGTACTTCCTGTCACCGACAGCTGAGGTGCCCCCCAGGGCCTGTAAGTTCCTTGTGTCCTGCCAACTAGGTGATCCTTGAGCCTCCAGAGGGTCTGACCCCAGGCTGTGGCATTATCAACAAATCCCTCAAAACTCTGCCTGTGTGGCATAAGGAACAATACCCTTTCCGCCCCTATTATGATAACTGTAGACAAAGGGCTCCACCCACCAAGAAGCAAAAGGTGTGTAAAATTAGACACAATGGCCTTCATGAGAAAAGTACCTGGATGGACATCCTGCTGGCGTCTCCAGGATTCTCTTGACATTTTAGACCATTATTCGGCTTTCTCAGATAGGAGCTGAAAGGACCCCAGGTTGTGAGTTTGGCCTTCCTCGTAGTTGAGTGACCTCACACCTGTACTCATGTCCTCCCCACCCCCGGGATGGAGCTGCCCTCCCCACACTGCCTGTCAATCATCCTCATTGACTAGCCACACAAGCCACTTCAGTGGCCCTTCCACACGGTGATAGTGCCTGAGGTGTCCACCACACTTCATGTCCTAAAGCCAAGTGTTCATGAAGCTTCACAAAGTCTCAACCATTCTGAGACAGTGTGCTCAGGCCCCCAGAGCTCTGCCTGTGTGGCCTATCACTGACTGACTTCCCTGGA